TTCTCCCATTGGGATCAGTCTCCCGCACAGACTCCTGGCCGGCATGATCATCAACCGATCAGTCCATCGTTTCAGCAGGTGGTCGCTAAACCGATGTACGTTGGCCAAACTAAGCAATCCATCACTTCTCCACCTCCTCACCTAGCAAAGGCGATAAAAACGAGTCGAGGTCAGCTGACCCAGAGTCTTTCAGAATCATCCGCCAGTATTGAGGGTTTCAAGGGCTTTGACGCAAATCATTTGAGTTCACCTGATGCCTTGAAAAAAGAGGTATGCGAACATTGGTGCATTTGATATCTGCATAAACTAATATATGCGTACACAAAAACTCTCATCAAAACATTTTTCATCCTCACAGTCATACAAACTACCGCAATATTATCGTCGCCTATGCTTTGTGAACTGAGGATGATTTTTCCCTTAAGACCACAAGGCGGGAACCAAGCAAACAAAGCCATGGAAAAAGAGTTTAACATTCTTGCCGGCAGTTTGCTGCCCGGCTTACTCTGTATATTTCGATACCTGCACGACCACTGCCCTTGCTGATGATGCTCATTTGGCATAAGCCAGAAGAGAGTAGACTGCTCGTAAGATAATACAAAGCTTGAATTTACAGCAGCTCTAACCGAAATTAATCTAAGTCATGACTATATAAAAATTCTCTGCGCAATTCATCCCGGAATGGCGTTTTCATTATCAAGTTCCCACCTCACATTACCTCCTGATTGGCACAGGCAACATGATTCTAATCGTATATGTGCGGATCTTACCTTTGGCATAATCTCAGAAACGCACCAGGGTTATCTGTTGTATGGAGTCGTCACACCAGTACGAAAGCATTCTTTCCATATAGCAGCGCAATGATGTTTGCCTTCAGGTGTTCATATCTCCTAAAACATCATAGCCATTTGGCCCAACCTCGTCCTAATTTGATGTTTAGAGTGCAAGGTTCGCGACCATTCAGCAAAGTTTGAAATAGAACACGATGAAAAGGAGGATAGAAGGGGCTTAGAGAAGTTAGTAACATTTATTTAGCTGAGCAAATTCACTTATAAATATACAAGTATAAGTCTTAAAAGTGGCCGTAAATTGTTGTCCCCTCAGGGAGAAATTATGTAGCTAATGCTTATATAAATGTTCTCTAAAATCGATTGTTAAAAGTGAAGCGTCAGTGTCTATCTGTGCTTAACACAGAACGACAGGGCAAACAAGGTATAATGCAAGATCTTACATATCGAAAAGTAAAAGATTAACCTTTAAATGTAGATGCGTGCATATTTACTAAACTATATATACATCTTTTTTTATTTTACAGATACCGCCGCCATCTTCGGCCATTCAAGTAAGAAAGTTTTGAATAATAATTTATAAGGATCCAAAGAAAGAGGCAAACACAAAAACTTACATGCAATAAAAATATGTAACTTCATTTATCACAACGCCAAATACACGTTTGCAAGTCGACATTCGGATTATAAATGTAGTTTGGGAGAAGGCTGATTGGACTTAAGAAAAGTCTAGTGTTTGTATAGCATCAAAATATTTTTCAAAACCTAGTCTTTTTATCGTTCAATTAACTTACGTTTAAACACAGCAAAAGGTGGCACATTTTGTTTAAACCTTGTTCTGCGAGGTTATTAACAATTATCCAAACCACTATCTCATAAAAGTATTTTTGTATTGAATTTCGGTGGGAAGCAAGACTACTACCTCTTGAAATTTAGCATAAGTAGACAAGTAGATCAAAGGATAAACAAACGGTAATGCTCATAATTGAGATAAAATTACGTATTACTGACGTGATGCCGATTAAATCCCCAAGTACTGTTTTATCTGTTTAACATAATATTTTTATTACTA